GCACTGCATGTCATGAAGGTTGTTGTGTTGATCACCATCTTTTGTGAACAACACTGCAGTTTTTTCTGCCAAAGACACCTGGATATCAAGGGAATGGACCAAAAGAAAGTCAGAGCAGGCAAAAGAGAAAGCTACAAATTACAATACTCAAGTGTGAATGAAATTCAAATACATAGATAGACAATACCTGATCAGCCTGCAGCATGCGCTTAATGCATTCACTATTAACATGACGATCAGCAAGATCCATACACCTAGCTTCATCTGCAAATGCAGCAGCAGCAGCCAAATCACCAGCATGCTTCAGTATCCGACTCTGATATTCGAAAACATACAACAATCAATAACAAGTTTCTCCACATACTATCGACTGTTAATGAAAGTTACCAATCACCACTAATCCCTACTAAATTAACTCATTTTCACCAATATTTGATCTTAGAAAGTACATGTTACTTGAATATCTAGAGTATATTATACTATTATTGGCTTTATTGGATACTATCATTTTTTTATAGAAAAAATAAATAAATGTATGAGTGGGGCAAATTAATTTGTTAAGTGGTAAAAAACTAATTTTCAGTGATTAAAAATTATTTTTTATCATTTACATCTTTACTTTATTTACTCCATGGTTTAATACTTATCATGACTAATACTTGGCCATATTTTAATATCTTTTTAATTCTAAAAGTATTAATTATAAGTTACTATAAAGTATTTTTTTACTAGTTATTGTCCCCCACTTATAAACTTTTTGTTTGCCTTATTATCTCTAATCGATGTGAGTCTTGGATTTTTTCTCAATACACCCCCCTCAAGTCTCGCACTATTGAACTTGATATGTGGATGATTGGTGGTTAGCCCTTTTTTAATGATCTAGAATATAGGTGGGGCTTGGGTTTTTTTTCCCAACACAACCCCTCATGCCCAACATGATTGGATTTGAGACATGTATAAATGGTGGGTGACTCTTTTTAGCGGATCTAAGATAATTCTAATACCATTTTAGAAAATGGATTAGAGTCTTGCTTAACCTTTCAAAACCAGTTTCTTGTAAGGTAAAGGTGTCCCCCACTTATAAACTCGGTTTGCCTTATCTTTAGTGACTTGGATACATCTCAATAAATACTTATCATGATTAATACTTGGCCACATTTGAATATCTTTAATTATAAAAATGTTAAGTATAAGTTACTGTGGAATTTTATATAATAATATAGAAAATTCAATATAGTTTTGTGGTAAGTTGTGTGTAATTCACGCTGCAATAACCACAACCTACATTTCAGAATCTGCAATACTTGTAATTGCAAAAACCTTAACGCAACCACATCGGCAACTGCAATTTAAAACTTTGCTAATAGCACTTCTTGAAGTTAATTAGACAAATCAGAGTTAAGTGTTCTCTAATTGATGGTTAAATTCCATTAACTAGAGTGCAGATTTATAGATACATGCAACCACATCCATATGCATGTGCACACAAATTTATATAGTAGAACTCCGTAGAAGTGAAAAAAAAAATCCTAAAACAAGCAGTGAACTAGTTAGAAATATAAGCAAACCTTGACTGAATACAGATCAATGACAGTGGGTGTATGATCAATAGCCTCATCAATTTTAGAAAGAGCAATGTCATATTGGCCCCGTCTATCATAATGCTGCACCAACAAAAATTCATTGAGTAGGAACAAAAAACAAAAATGAAGGAACCCACAAAAAATGAATCAAAAGAAATCATGAAAAATAAGCACAGACCTGAGCCAACAAGAACAAAGTCCACATAAGAGTTGAGGGTGGGTCTTTTTCCATCCTGAATACAAGATGAATAATGGTTAGTTATCCAGTACAAGATGAAAGTTCTAAAGCATCAAAACTTCAATGTACTATAAGACTCTTCCCCAACTCAACTATAATTGGATAGTATTGTCCATATAACTTCTTTTCGTTCTTTGGGCAATTTTAATCTAATTTGACTTATCCTCCCCGAAGATGTACATTCTTTATTTTGTTCCAAAAAATTATGTTGTAGTTGTATAAAATATTTTAAGATGGACACAAAAAGTTCATTAAAGGGAAAGCTAATAGATTTATCAAAGAGAGAACATTTATGAAACAGAAATTCTTGAAAACATGTAAAGCCACTTGGCCATGCGCCCAAATTCAAGAATGACATTTTGGAAAAGCTTCTCCAATACCTCAACTTATCCAGCCGAAAAACCACCAATAAATGGTGTCTTTAGTTTCTGATAGAGTCCAAGATATTCATGGGCCTCTTGACAGCTTGGCCCATTATGACAATAAGGCTCCCAAGGAATGGAAGGTCTATACATGTAGGAAGAAGAGAGGTGCAGAATAAATATTGGAATACAAAAGCCGGGTGGTTAGAGGAGAGAGAGAATGAGATCTTTTCGCTTATTTAGTAGCACGAGTTAGAGAGAGGGGGATATGCTGAATCATTTGCTTTTGTGTGGGAATAGAGAAAACCTTGTGGGTTACTCTATTAGGAGCGTTGCTCTGGGACAGGAGAAGATCACTCTTCTGCTGTATTTCTTTTTCTGATATTAATACAATTCAGTCTTGTATTCCTTTTCATTGAGTGTTATTGTCTTCTTTGAATTTGGGTTTCCATCAATTTGGTCCGACTTGCCGGATAAATTCTCTTGAACGGTGAATGCCACCCAAGAGAAGAGGTGGAAAAGGAGTAGAGGGTGAGCTGGGTTGGGAAGTGACGGCGATAGAAGAAATCCGCAAACAAGCGACACAACATCAGTCGACGATGGAGTTATTACGAAAACAATCAGAACAACAAACCAAAATGATGGAGATGATGTCTCGAAGCCTTGAGAAGATTCACTTCCATGAAGAAGGTGAAGGTTCAGTTGGTCAACAGCAGGGTTCAGGAGGTCGATCGAGGATACTTGAAGGGGAAGCAATGGAGGAGTTCCGTCAATCAGCAATGGAGAAGACCCAGCAGGGTGGATCACGAGAGCGGAGATATACTTTCGAGTTCAAGAAACTAGTGAGGTGGTGAAGGTTAGTTTAGCCCAGCTATGTATGGAGGGAGGAACCATACATTTTTTCAATGCACTGTTGAACGACCAAGGAGACCTGTCATGGGAGGATTTGAAACGGGAGTTACTGGGTCGTTATGGAGGATTGGGAGAAGGAAGTGTGTTTGAACAACTCACTGCTATACGTCAGAATGGAAGCGTTGATGAGTATATCCAGAAATTCGAATCACTAGTAGCTCAAATACCTAAATTACATGACGAGCAGTATTTTGCGTACTTCATTCATGGTTTACAGGATGAGATAAGGTCACGTTTGAGGAGTATGCATGTGGCAAATCCTTTGACAAGGGGACGAATGATGAATACGGCAAGAGCTGTCGAGATGGAGTTGGCGAATCGTAGCAACAGATGGCAGGGAAGAAATGACACACGTGGAGGAGGAGGATCCCATTTGGGTTATAGAACCCAAACAAGCGTTTCGGGTCGGGTTGGTCCACGGAATGTTGGTGCAGGGGGAGATACCAATGGGCCAGGCCCAAACTCACGTTTAGAAGGAGGGGGTAGAAATAAAATTGGGCAAAGAGATAGAGGTACTAAACACCTAGCGTACCAGGACTTGCTAGACAGGAGACAACGGGGGCTATGCTACAAATGTGGTGGGCCTTATGACCCATTACACCAATGTCCAGTAAAGCAGTTGAGACTCATTTTGGTGGATGACGAATTGCAAGTCGAGTGCGAAAAGGATGAAGAGAAATCGAACAGCGAAAAGAAGACAAATTAGAATCTGAAGGCGAATGCAGTTCTATATGGTTGCACGGACTGGAAAAGGAAAGGAATCAGTCGTTGAACACAATGAAGTTGCACGATCAGGTGCGAGGAATACCGCTATTCATCTTGGTGGATAGTGGGGCCACCCACAATTTTATTTCGAAGAAATTAGTGGAGGCAATGGGCTGGTCGTGGGAACCTACCAAGAGTATGAATATTTTGATGGGGGATGGTCATAAATCAGAAACTTCAGGAGTATGCCGTGGTTTGAGGGTGGAAACAACTGCTGGAGAATTTACTGTGGATGCATTTCTGTTTGAATTAGGGGATATTGACATGATTCTGGGCATGTCTTGGCTGGTCTCTTTAGGTGAAATGGTTGTGGATTGGAATAAGCAGAGGATGAAAATTGTGACTCCACAGGGAACCAAGGTGCTGGAGGGTGCGGTGAGGGGAGAACCGTTGTTGGCGTCCTTGAGTGAAACAATTCCACAGGATGAGAAAATAGGAGGTGCAGAGCTGAGTCAAGAGCAACAGGAGGCATTGAATGAGGTTTTAAAAGGGTTTGGAGATGTTTTTGTAGAACCAAAGGGCTTGCCCCCGATACGAGCTAAGGAGCATGCCATCATTCTCAAAGCGGGTCAGGAACCAATTAATGTCAGACCGTATCGTTATCCTTACCACCAGAAAAATGAAATTGAACAACAAGTGAAAGAATTGTTGACTAATGGGCATATCAGACACAGCCAGAGTGAATATTCCAGTCTCGTGATTTTGGTCAAAAAGAAGAACAATCAATGGCGTATGTGTGTGGATTATAGGGCACTTAACAAAGCCACCATTCTGGATAAATTCCCAATACCCGTAATTGAAGAGCTTCTGGATGAATTGCATGGAGCCAGTTTTTTCTCTAAGCTGGATTTGAAGTCGGGATATCATCAAGTTCGCATGAGGAGAGACGATATTCCCAAAACAGCGTTTAGGACTCATGAGGGCCATTATGAATACCTCGTGATGCCCTTCGGGCTCATGAACGCACCCTCCACTTTTCAAGCTCTAATGAATGAAGTGTTTCGTGAAAAGTTACGAAGAGGAGTGCTGGTTTTTTTTTTACGACATCCTTGTCTACAGTAAAGGTTGGGAAGAACATCTGAATCAATTAGGGGCGGTGCTGGGAATTCTGAAACAACACCAGCTGTTTGCGAATAAAGAAAAATGTAACTTTGGCCAAAGCAAAATTGAATATCTGGGTCACATTATCTCAGCTCAAGGAGTGTCCGTAGACCCTGCTAAAGTCAGGAGTGTGTTGGAATGGCCTGTACCGAGAAATGTGAGAGGAGTAAGAGGATTTCTCGGTCTCACGGGGTACTATCGAAAATTCATAAGGGATTATGGGAAGGTAGCAAGACCTCTCACTGATTTAACAAAAAAAGACGGGTTCGGATGGAATGAGCAAGCGCAAAGAGCTTTTGAGGAATTAAAGAAGAAGGTCACCACTGCGCCTGTTCTGGTGCTGCCTAATTTTGAGAAAGAGTTTGAATTAGAATGCGATGCGTCGGGAATGGGGATAGGAGCAATTCTAATGCAAGAACGCAGACCTGTGGCCTATTTCAGCAAGGCACTGGGGGAGAAAAATCTGGCAAAGTCTGCTTATGAAAAGGAGCTCATGGCTGTGGCATTGGCAATTCAGCACTGGCGTCCATACCTCCTGGGGAGGAAATTCAAGGTGTATTCTGATCAGAAGAGTCTTAGACAGCTAATGCAACAAAGGGTGACTACGGGAAGCCAACAAAACTGGTTAGCGAAGTTACTTGGTTACAATTTTGATGTAATGTATAAACCAGGGGTGGAAAACAAGGGAGCTGATGCTCTTTCTCGTAGTATGGGAGAAGGGGAATTAAGGGCAATGTCATTTCAACCCAGTTGGTTGGATTACAAAGAGCTAATAGCTGAAACTCATGCAGATGATAAATGGAAAAAGGTTATTGATGATTTGAAGCAGGGAAGGGAGACATATCCTGACTTTACATATGACCATGGCGTATTACTGTTCAAAGGTAGAGTGGTGATTTCAAGAAAATCTGTGTGGATTCCTCAAATGCTAAAGGAATTTCATGAAACGCCAGTTGGAGGACACTCGGGTTTCTATAGGACCTATAGAAGGATGGCAACAAATTTATATTGGCAAGGGATGAAAGAAGATATTTGTAAATTTGTACAAGGATGTGATGTGTGTCAGAGACAGAAATACTTGACTATTGCTCCGGGAGGTTTGCTGCAACCTTTGCCAGTGCCAAATCAGATGTGGGAAGATGTTACCATGGACTTCATCACAGGATTACCCCGATCCAAGGGGTACGAAGCTATACTGGTAGTAGTGGACAGGTTGTCTAAGTATAGTCACTTTATTCCCCTCAAACATCCATATACAGCTAGGACTATTTTGGAAGTGTTTGTGAAGGAAGTTGTCAGGTTGCATGGAATTCCCAATTCGGTGATCAGTGATAGGGACCCCCTGTTTATGAGTTTATTCTGGAAAGAATTTTTCAGGATGCAAGGTACCACCCTAAGGATGAGTACGACGTATCATCCACAGTCGGATGGACAAACGGAAGTCGTCAACCGTCGTTTAGAAACCTACTTACGGTGTTTTATCACTGATCAGCCCAAGGGATGGAGTCAATGGCTGCCTTGGGCAGAGTATGGGAAAAATCCGACGTTTCCCGTATCCACAGGAACCACTCCGTTTGAGGCAATATATGGACATCCACCACCTATGATAATAAAGAGTGTGCCAGGGGAAGTAAGAGTCGAAGCTGTCCTAAGAGAATTACAAGACCGTGATGAAGCTGAGGCAATTGAAAGCACATTTGGTTAGAGCACAGGAGCGGATGAAGAAGCAAGCCGATAAACACCGAATTGAGAGGAGGCTATTGGGAATTATAAGGCTGAGAGTGGGCTCCCAATGGGATTAGAAGATGATCATGCAGAACTAATGCAACTAGAATTGGTTCTGGCTTCTCGCAGTTTAATGAAGGGAGGAGACAAAATGAATCAATGGCTGGTGCAGTGGAAAGGGAAGACAGCTGAGGAAGCTACATGGGAAGATGAGATAGCTATTCGTAGTCAGTTTCCTGAGCTCAGTCTCGAGGACAAGACTGTTCTTCAAGAAGGGGGTATTGATAGAGTCCAAGATGTTCATGGGCCTCTTGACAGCTTGGCCCATTATGACAATAAGGCTCCCAAGGAATGGAAGGTCTATACACGTAGGAAGAAGAGAGGTGCAGAATAAACATTGGAATACAAAAGCCGGGTGGTTAGAGAAGAGAGAGAATGAGATCTTTTCAGTTATTTAGTAGCACGAGTTAGAGAGAGGGGGATATGCTGAATCATTTGCTTTTGTGTGGGAATAGAGAAAACCTTGTGGGTTACTCTATTAGGAGCGTTGCTCTGGGACAGGAGAAGATCACTCTTCTGCTGTATTTCTTTTACTGATATTAATACAATTCAGTCTCGTATTCCTTTTCATTGAGTGTTATTGTCTTCTTTGAATTTGGGTTTCCATCAGTTTCCATATAATATATATAGAATTGCTTCCATCACCAAAGAGGGGATGGGGAAGGAGATATATTTGAGAGACAGATAGTAAGGGGTTAAAAAAATTGAAGGGGGACCATTTTTTCCAAGACTTTGAACAATTAGCGAATTCTCCGATCCAGCCATGGATCCTCAACTTTCATGCCTCAATTGAGTTTCTAAACTCACATGCAACTTAAATAACAAACATTCTAGCTTCCCTTACCTGAAGATTGGCTCAGATAGCCAAAGATTGAACAAAAGTAGAATTTCCCCTCGAGGCTCAACTCAGAACTTCAGTCCTCCCAAAACAAGCTTTCTAATCTGAATTTCAAGAAAAGTCAGAAGGAGTTAGTGATCTAGAGGAGAAAAGGAGTCAAACAGAGAAATTTGGGAGAGAAAGGAGCTCACTTGACAGCTTGGCCCATTATGACAATAAGGCTCCCAAGGAATGGAAGGTCTATACACGTAGGAAGAAGAGAGGTGCAGAATAAACATTGGAATACAAAAGCCGGGTGGTTAGAGAAGAGAGAGAATGAGATCTTTTCAGTTATTTAGTAGCACGAGTTAGAGAGAGGGGGATATGCTGAATCATTTGCTTTTGTGTGGGAATAGAGAAAACCTTGTGGGTTACTCTATTAGGAGCGTTGCTCTGGGACAGGAGAAGATCACTCTTCTGCTGTATTTCTTTTACTGATATTAATACAATTCAGTCTCGTATTCCTTTTCATTGAGTGTTATTGTCTTCTTTGAATTTGGGTTTCCATCAGTTTCCATATAATATATATAGAATTGCTTCCATCACCAAAGAGGGGATGGGGAAGGAGATATATTTGAGAGACAGATAGTAAGGGGTTAAAAAAATTGAAGGGGGAGGGAGGAGGCTGAGATTCAGTGGGCCAGAGCAACACTAGGACATCAAAATAAAATAATCAGGAAATCTAACCAAGAGAGTGAGCAGTGAAGAGGCATTTAAGTAAATTATATTGCAGAATTCGGTAAATCCTCCGAAAGAAAAGAAGCACATTGATGCCTCATGAAACTTTCTAGACGTTCTAAATTTTAGTGTCAGTAATGAATTCAGAAAAAGTCTAGTGTAATGTTATAAACCCAGGAGGAGAGATGGAAAATTGATCCAGACAAATGGAAAGTGCAAACAACTTTATTGAATTGATTGAGAATCTGAGAGAGGGAACAACTTTATGGAATGATTGAGAATCAGAGAGAGGGATCTCTCCATGGGTTTCCTCTTAAAAAAGAAATTATCATTTTGCAAGGAGCAAATGCTCAATTCTCAAATGATACAAGACAGAATGAAGCCTTTAATTTCCCTCATTTATTTAACTAACTAATCACTCCGACTGTTACTAGCTAATTTTCTTCCCTCTCTCCTAACACAAAATATTAACATAAGCACCAAATTTGATCTCAGAAAAAAGTTCCAAGCTTACACTTTTACCATATGAATCCAAATCACAACTATGCTACAACATAGATAGTAACATGCATATCTTAATTCTTACCTTCCAGGGTATTGGCCAGTGCTCTTAATTGAACTCTCTAACTCAAGAATGATCTGTTCCAAAATGTCTGCCGGGACAAAATAGAGAAAAATCATAACAAAGTCAGAAACAGTATTTTATACCACTATATGATATAATAGTAGAAACCAAACTATTTAAGCAGAAGAATGTTAGCAATAAAACTGACCTTCCCAGGTTGATTGTATAATGAAGAAAGATCAGAGAATAGAGATGGGACACCCTAAAAACAACACAAAACGAAATCCCAATTTAATTTTGAAACCAGTAAAGTAGGCAGTCACACCAAACGTTCTGTCCATACCTTAGTTAGGAGAGGCCTAATATACCTATCTGCTGCTTCTCGAAACTTGTCACTTTGTAAAAAATCCAGTGGTATTCTCTGAATAAATAAATAATACTGTGGGATGAGATTTATTCTTAAAAAATGGGCTCAGATAGTATCACTCGTGCTGATAAGAGAAAAATATTGAAATTATGACACCACAACAAATTCATCTATAATGTATTTTAGATCGGTGGAAAATGCACTCACACTGATCTGAAGAGCTTTCCCCAATCAATACCAGGGTAGTTTATATACAATGACTATAGAAGGGAAGAAAACAAAAATAAACAGTGATTACATTTAGTAAACTAATTTACCATTTCACAGTTAACCAGCATTTTCCATTCTACAAGAAACAACCAGAAGGGGTCAAAATAATAGTTAAATGCAGGTCGTGATGCTGAAAGAAAGCTATAAAAGTAAATGTGATACATAACTAGAAGAATTGGCTGCCCTTACCTTAACAGCAGAAGACCACTTATATTGCTGCCCTAGTGTTTTGTACAAGGCATCTAACCGATCAATTTCATCAGGAGAAAAATGGCCATTTTCTGAATATAATCCAACACATTTTTGGAGGCCTTCATAATATCTGAGCATCAACATGAAGCACAGACAATTGTATAGCTTCTACTAGTCAGTAAGATCATAGAAACATAAAATACAAACAGAATACCGAAAAAAGGGAGTTATTACACAACCATTTAAAGAGCCTATGACCCAAAGCATTTTTGAGGCATTCATGGAATCGAAACAATAAAATGAAACATTAACCATCTATTTATTTCTTGTTTTAGAATCTGTTTTCTGCTTTTAAAATAAAAAAATTATAAAAAAAAACCTCGTTTGATTAGAGTAGTTTTTAAAAACTGTTTTCAAAAATACTCTTTTTTTACTTTTTAAAAACAGAAAACCAGAATATCTCTAAATTGTTTTAGTTCTCTACTTTCAACTTCTATTACTCATGCTCTTCTGTTGCACTTTAGTGTTATAAATGGTGGATGGCAGATTATAATGGCGAACAAAAAGTCCACCACTTACATATCGCAGATGGGATGGCAGCCAATGGCGGACAATATTTACACACACACGAACTAAAAAACAGTAGGGAAATAAATAAAAAAACTAAAAATACTAATAAAATATGTCAAGAACGGTAGCCTAAATTCCTGAAAAATATGAAAGACATAAACTAACAGCCTCAATTTCATCAAGTTCAAAGGTTCAAAACAAGATAAAAAATAACAGGTTTGAATAAGCAAGAAAATAGAAAAAAAAATGCCAGAATTGAATAAGCAGAAAAAGAAATTAAGAAAAAGAAAAAATTAAATGAACAAATAGAGTCAAGAACAGAATTAGAAAAAAATAAATAAATAAAATTGAATAAAGACTTTAATTAGAAGAAGAAAAAACATAATTAAATAAGCAATAAAAAAGATGAAAATAAAGAAAGAAAAAGAAGTTAATAAAATAAATGATATAGTTCACCAAAGAGAAAGATAGAAGAAGAAAAAAAATACATAGAAGCTTAACAGAGTTAAAGAAAACGAAAAAAAAATTAAAAATATTTTTTAAACAAAAAAGAATTAATAACAAAAAAAATACCGCAGAAAAAAAAATTTTAAAAAAAATCACCAGATGGGGTTGCCAGTGGACAGTATTGCTGGAGCCAGAGGAAGCTGATGAACAGTTACTCACTTAGAAGCAGCTTCATGAGGGAAACTAGGAAGAGCTTAGTACGTTTATTATTTTATTGTAGGATTTTATTCCCTTTTCTGGACCAGTATCAGGCCAGGCAACATGGCCTAAGTCCCATTTTATTTTCTTCCATGGGTGTCATGGCCACCACAGGTATGGTAACTGTCATTTGAAATCTGCCACATCACCGTCATATCATGGTGGTGTGTTAAAGTTCCGCCATGGCCGCCATGAGACAACACAACACCCATACCCTTTTACATCTTCTTTCCCCACTTTTAACTTTCTAAAAACCAGTTTTTGAAAATTGTTTTATAAATAGTTTCTAAGAACTAAGACACAATCAAAAACACCCTAAAATTTTCTCCTGCTTCCAAAAGTCAGTAATATCAAAGAAAAATAAAATACAAACTAAAGATTATCAATCCAGAAAGAGATAAATGAAATAAGGATTAAGGCAACTGAAATGCCCTTTTCTGCCATGCCTAAAGCACAAAGGAAACAGTGGAAAGACATAAAGAAGAAAAACATCTAGACAGACATTGCAACTGAAGCATTCAAATCTAAAATGAACTAGCCTGAAATATCACCTATAATTGTCAGGATTCATGGAAAGTAATGCCCGGTACAATTTCTCCCCTTCTTCTAAGCAGTCAAGCTTGACTAAAAGTGAAACCTCCTGTTCTTTATATGCAAGCTTATCAACCTAAAGACATAATCAGAAACAGGAAAGATATAATGCTTCTCATTCATACCAAGTTCAATTATCAAACTACCTCAATCAATAAAAACACTTACAATTTTTAACTCTTTCTTTTGCAACTCCTCAAGAGCCTTTTCAAAAAATCCGCATTCTTCTAACAAAGAGATCTGAAAGAAGATATTTGATGCAGAAAATCACCATGTCAGGGAAATATTAATAGAGGCATCTGAACCATATGAAAGATATTATCATTCAACAAGATACAATTTGACTAGAGCAAGATATTATCCAAACATGAAATTATAGATGCTGAGTAAGTTCTCTATTTGTCTTATAATGACTATAATCCTAAGGGCTATCATTGGCTTTCACAAAATCTCGTGAACGATAAAAACACATTCAAATCCTATCATTTTATATGGCAAATAAAAGCTACATCAAACAAAAAATATGTGAAGAGGCATTGTGCAATATGCATTAAACAAGAAACAGCCGCAGCAACAGCCAGAGGAAAGACCTTATACAAAAGCATTTCCCCATGCTCACAGCGTTCATTTTCTGGAGGATAATCATCTTCCAATGTCCCTTCATACGCTTCCAGAATTTCAATAGCCTTTGATGCACTGTTGCATATTAATAATGTCAGTACAACAAACTACAAAAATAAAATTATGCCATTTGAATAACACCTATCAATAATACCTAAGCCAGGGAATTATGAAGCAAAGCTTCAGAGCAGAATTGTGGTTTTGATGCAATTTAAACATTTGATCCAAAAATCTCCAACCACAACATTACCAGGTTTGTCATATCCTAGACCCTACAAGATTAGTTCTAATAATTAGGGGTAAACAATGGTCTTTGTTGTGTAGAGATGCAATCCAGCTTAAATAAACCAAGCTGGTAAGTTTATTGGTTAAAATTAGGTACCTCTAGAAATTAATGCTTTTTATGGGCTGAATCCTAAGAGTTTGTTTAGGATTGTTTATAGGTAAAGGAAGCAATCAATGAACTTTCCTTGGTTACCAAGTAAGGAGAGATTGGTTACTGGAGCTTATCGATAATTTATCCAATAGGAAAAGGCACATCTTTGAACTAATGATTGATCCTAGGAACTAGACTTGAGAGATTATACCTTGTGTTAAAGTTTTACTCAAAATTTAATTTTAATGTTTTTGTTTATAATTTAAATTAAATTTTAATTCTAGTTTTTTATTTAATAGCCTACTCAAAACCCCCTTTCTCTATTTATTCTTGTGCTTTTAATTTAGTAAAAATAAGTGAATCTTTACTAGTCCCACTGGACTCAACTCTACTCTCCACTTAAAACCTTTTTGACAAAGAAGGTTTTAAATAGTAGGTTTAACGCCTATCATTTTGGCAATTTCTATACTAAAAACGGGAGGGGAAAAGCTAAAATATCATACTTTGAGTTTAAATGGTGTGCGACAGCAAAGCCAATCCAGTTCATGCGGTGATTTGACTTGAGTGTCAAAAGTTGTTGTCGTGTCTCAACAAAGCCAGTTAAATCTCGCATTTGAGCCTGACAGTGAGAAGTAAAAGCACATTCACGTGGATCAAAACATTAAATACATAATAGAAGAATTCACTGACTGTGCACATGTAATATAAAAAGTGATACACAGTAAGATATCATAGCAAAATACTTGTATCTGTTTGAATCATAAATCACTTGATCACTATCCACTTTCCAATTAGCTTTAGCTCATTTTGCAGCTTAGGTTCATTAGGAAATTGAGATAGACGTAGCTTAATTACCCTTATTCTGAATTGTGTTCTGTATTAATATAAATCTCAGTGTATATAAACGATTTAAACAAGTGTGAATTGTGCAATCAAGAAAATTCACTCAAAATCAGTTTTCTCTTATTTTTATCTTCAACTGTAGCCTCCAGACACCCCAGTGATGTGACCTTCGGTAATATGCATTGGAAGATTCCAAATGGAAATAGGCTGGAGAGAGATTTCTCTTTCACTTTTATTGTTAATTCTGCCCAAGTTTAGCAAAACAAATAATTCTAGAAAGATATATATTGAATTTGATTTGAATAGATAGCAGAAGGACAGTAATTTTCTGACTGAAGTGCAGTGACTAACTACCTATGAGCTTCACCAAGAGACATAAATGAACTTAGATAGGAAATCACAGTATCATAAAAGTACCATTACTGACAATCATGGTAAGTTAAGGACAATGTTCACGATAAACTTCGCTCTATACCAACAGACAATAGCAACATGAAGCTACATGTTTCAGCATGTTCGGTTTACTGTTTAAAAGCTTTGGGACGAAGGTTTGCACTTTCCAATGCATGAAATGCAAAAGCAACAAGGCAGTTGTATTAAATTAAATGTGGGTTACACTGAAAGTAACTTTTCTCAACACACACTTTATGATCAGAAAATGTCAAGAGATAATGCCAGTACAAGAAAACTAACACCACGGTCAAAGTCATTGCAAGGAGAGCAATTGAGAGACTTTCCGAGTTTACATATGCTAAAACAAAGCAAGTAAAAGCAAAAGGACTTAATATGCTACCTGTAAAAGTGATAGGTCCCGCAAGATTTCAATATTGTCAGGATCTATTTTCAGTGCATTTCGATAGCACTTTATTGCTTCCCTATATTCTCTGTCTGACCGGTACAGTAGACCAAAAACATGCCAGCAAACATGGCTTTTAAGGTCATTCTGCACAAGAGAAGAAAAATTAAGCTTGGACCATCTGCCAAACATTGACTGGAAGACCGATATATGGTGCAGAATCAAAAGGCAACCCACCTTCAATCCTTGGCGAACCAGTTCGTATGCCTCAGACTTACGATCCATACAATTTAATGTCAAACCCTTCATTGATAAAGTTTCTATCAACCAGAAGGGGGGAACAGACACATAAATTAAAATAATAATAATTAAAAGATGGAGAGAGAACAACTTTTGTATGTAAAAAATAAACACCATTTTAAAGGAATGAGAAGAAAATAAAATATCCCCCCAACAAGAAAGGAAAGGCATGGAAAAACAAGTAGGCAAAATTATACCTCCATGGTTTGGGAATTTTTTCAAAATGGAATCGGCTGCTTTGAGGCCTTTTTTGTATTGTTTGGTTTCATAGGATTTCTGCAGCAATGCAAACAAGGGAAATTAAACCCAGCATAAAAGCAACCCCCCTCCCCTGTGGCACCAACGGTACTTCATTTGCTTTTTAACACTGAGAAAACCAATAACCCCCAAACACTGCTACTAGAAGGAATTTCACGGCTATAATCTGAAAGTTAGATCATATAACATGTATTTATCCACATAAAATTCCTTCAAGCTCTGCAACAAGAACATATTCAATAATTGAAAGCAAAAAATTCAGTAAAAAAAATGAAAAATCCATTATATCCATTTGTTCCAATACTAATCATGTCAGGTCGTCCGTGCACGTGCTGATAATCGCAAGGGGAAAAAGAAAGGAATAGGGAGAATGCAATAAAGTCAAAAGACGAGAGTTGAGGAAGTTCCATTTTGAATGGCGCTCAAACATTGAGAAGTAACGGAAACTGTATGGAGTAATTATCGGAAAGAAAAAAAAGGGTTTGGGAAGTGATGGATCGAGAGAATGGAAGCTTACGACAATAAGTTTGAAGAGGTTGGCCTCTTTGGAAGGAAGAGAAGCAGCCATTGTTGTTGTTTTGGGGTTTATGGCAGCGAAGCGAGAGGAGAAATATAGTGCAATGCAACCCTACTGTCATGTGTCAACAAGAAGCAAGGAACAAACAACTATGCTTTATGTTATGTTTTTGGGACTATAATTGTAAAATCCCCATGCCCATCACATTCACATGCTCAACATAACATCAATCCTTAAATTACTTCTTAGTTCTTACTAGGCTCCTTCCTTCAACATGTTTTTGGGTTAGCCTTACATCATATTTAATTCATTTAATTGGGTAAGAAAATTAATTTAGTATAATTTTTATGGCAGGAGATCAAACAGGTAAATTCGTAGCTTTATGGATTTTATAAAATTTACTTGTGTAATACAATGGTCAAATATTTATTATCTATAGTTAAAATTTATAATAAATTATATAAAAAATAAATATTATATTTGAATATATAGATTGTATTTAAAATTTATATAAATAGATATCTTTAAATATATAAATTATATTTTATATTTATGATAAATAGTTTATATTATAACATAATATTATTTTTATTTATTATTAATTTATTTAAAAAGTTTAAATTTTTTTATAAATAATTAGATAAAAAATTAAGAAATTTTTAAAAATTCTTTCATTGGAAAAAAGTTCTTAAAAAAACTCTCACATATTTAATATATAGAGATTGATTTTTTAACAACATAAATAATATATTTTAAAAGTTTTATATATGTAATAATCATTTTCTTAATATATATGTATATATATATATATGATAATTACTAATTATTTTATTATTATTTTTATATAAATAACTACTAATTATTTGATAATTATTTAATAGATACTTACCAATCGAGTTAAAAAAAATACCTTCAAATCTAAATTTAATAAATTTCATTAAAAAAAATATGGTTCATTAAAAAAATAACATTTGTCATATATTAATATCAAACTTCACACATTAAAACAAATATTTGGTAAATAAAAATCACGTTGTACAGATAATTTGTTGAAAGGAATAAATAATAGAACACCTTTGGTAAAGGCTGTACAGTGCCCTGTGGACAGGGGTGTTCAAAGAACTATATTAAACTAAACTATTGTAAAAACTAAACTAAACTAGACTATAAAAAACTAAACTAATTTTTATAAAAACTAAACTAAACTATATTTTAAGTTTTAGTTTTAAAAACTAAACTATTATAAAAAGTAATTTAACTAAAAATATGCTTTTAATGTGATGTTTTAACTAAAAATATACTAATAGATAGATTTTATACCACAATATTTGACAGATTTAATAACAAAATTTGAGTATAAGAATTAAAATATATTTTTAAAATAATTATAGAAACTAAAAAAACTAATTTTAAATTTGAGAAACTAAAAATAAATTTATCTTAAATTTAAAGAACTAAAAAACATATTTAAATCATGAAAATTATGTGAAAAAATTAATTTTTTATAAAATAATCAAATTAATTTAAATATAAAAGATAAAGAAACAAAATTAACATTTTAACATATAAATAATAATAAAAACTTAAAAAATATGCTAAAGGAAAACAACATAATTTTTAAGCCAAAAATTAATTATTATACATTATGAATATAACTTTTTAATCATTAATTAATAAAAACAATTGTTTATATAATTTTAAATAAAATTATTATAATAATAAAAAATATAATAATATACATGTCAATATAATTTTTTAATTATCAATTAATAAAAAATATTATTATTGTAACTTTCAATATAATTATTATAAAAATCAACAAAGCCATACTAATTTATACTATTTATATTAATTTATAAAG